CATCTCCCTAATCATATTCACTCAACCTATCTTGTTCCTTAACATGGGCAACATTTTAATGAGCCATTATTCCTCAAATTATCTATCTTGGTTTATTTTATATAGCTCCTATAAACATATTCCTATTGTTTTATTAAACTGACACCTGATAGTATTACACAAGTCATATAATTGTTGAGATAATCAATTATTTTGCTGAATTGAATTCCAGTAATAATTGACTTGGATGTAAATGTTCACACAAGATCTTTCTGAAGTGATTTCCTCAATTGTATAATATTATTAACAAGCTATCACACAAAATCTCAATATTGTTGACGCATAATTCTTCACTATGTACAAATAACTGTGGGACATGAAGAAGTTCTGCAGAAGAATATTCTTTGTTCATTCAAATCAGTTTTTAAACACCAAATTCGGTATAAAATGAGCGCGCCAAAATGCATCACATAAAATAATTGAACGACAGTATGAAGAGGAAAACGAAACAGTCAGTTTCATAATATACACGCAAAAAGTTTTCATTATATCTGAATACTTCTTCACAAATAGTTTATAAGCATGATACAATATGATCATCACCGGTTTCAATTTCCAGTCATGTCCTATAAAACCTTTAGATATTGAGTTGAACGACCTTTCAGATAGTACTAATGGGTTTTGATTCAAAACAGCAATCCTTTACCCCAAAGTATGAAAGTTAACTAGTATGGAAGCCGCTGAGATAATTTTCATGATACATGTCCAAGATACCGAAGCTGGTGTTTCAGGATATTATTCATTGAATAGTGATCTGCATCATGTCTGAATGTGCATCAATGACCTCAGTATTTCTTATACATACAATATCTTACCTCGAAACCACCAATTCTACGAACAGAGGTGATCAAACACACTCATGAAATATTCTCATTTTGTACAGGATTGAAGAGAAACTACCCTTACTAGTACGTCGTAAAACAGACATCTTACAGTCGGCTGAATAGTGGATTACTTTTGGAACTGTGACAAATTGGTTTAGGAAGACGACTTTCAACCACTGGGCCACGGGTTCGGACCTAACTCCACTCACAGACGTTTGGGCAGCCAGGTAGTAAAATTAGACAGCCCTCACACAATAGGTATGGTTCATTGCTTCCTGCACGAATGCACACAAGGTTGTTGAGAGTATTTCGATTCGATTCACCTTATAGTCATACTAACGTCACTATGGTGTGGTCAAAGCTGGCTCATATTGCTGTAAGTACAGCACTGTAGAATTTGATACGCGGTCAGAAAAATCATCAGTCACACGTCTACCAACACACATACATCTATCCAGAAAACACTGTACTTTTTCAGTTCAAAGCACGCAATACCTGAGGATATTGATCACCAAGTGGTTAGCAAAGCACTATCACTGCGTATTCAAGGTCAAGAAGTCTTTTTTCTCTTAGCACATCTACATCACCACCAATACACACCTATTACGCAGTTGTTTTGAGAAAGTCACCGGTAGAAAAACTTAGCAGCACAAGCACCTCACAAGCTTTTATCACGTGAGTTTAGTTACTTGAAGTTTTTCTAGTCTATCTACGATTGTTTCTCCAATTAGGCTTACCCTATACATATATATGATAAGCGCACATTTACTTTCAGCAATCACAACGAAATCCTATTCCACTTCTCAAGAACCAAGGACCGTTTTATGTGACAATCATACATTTATTCATTTGGTTATGTTCGTTTTACAAACAGTACGTACGGGGAAAAAGCAATAATGGAAGTAATCAAAATGTAAGCTACGTCTTGCAGTAGCCATTTATAGTATATTTCTTTATCAGAGTTACTTTGGTTATCGTGAACTAATTTTATTCCGAAAACAGTGAATCGTTCAAACGATGGGATGGTAAAAACACCAGCTATTCAAGGCAAACATATAAAAACTGTATCTGCTGGATATGTCAAGGACATGTGAAAATGAAAGGATGACCGAGTTTGTACTATGAGAGAATAAGAATAGTAAAACAAGAAATGAAGGTCATATGCTACTAATCACTTACTTTCATCCATATTACGTGCAACTATTAAATTGCAAAAGCAGGAATGAGCTAGTTCAAGCAATATCACTCAACCTACGGCAAACTAGTAACACTACTCGTCTGCTGTGAAAATACCAGCAAATAAAGTAAATGGCTGTTTGAAAATTAATAAAGGTCAGTGAATCTTGAAAATTCATTAAAATTAATGGGGTGGAGAGAAATATCTCACGGCGAGCTTCAAGCAAGATGAATAGTAAAAATAGATTGAGTGTAAACTGACATGTAGTTTTTATAATGAATGTGAGCAGTGAAAGCTAAAAATAGAGAAGATAGCGATGGCATGTTATAGTATGCAATAGATTAGATTAGTTCGGAATAACACACTGAAAAAGAGAGCTGTTAACTAGACTATAACAGAAGAAGACGAGTTAATGGCCAGCTCATAACAATGACAATTAGGGTAAAAGGAGAGAACAGTTAAAGTGAACTCCATCTACGCTTCATTTTAAATTATCTACTCAGAGATTATAATGGATACTCTTGGTTTTATTGTGTTCTGAGCTGGGTTGCTTAATCACGACATCATCAGCACTAACTTCAGTATGAAGTTAATGTATGTATGTATGTATATGTGAGTTAGACATGATTTCATTCAACTGGTTTGCTTAATCTTCAAGAAAGGTTCGAAAAATTGTTGTGATGACTTCAAGGGAGTGAGATTGACCAAGGTGTTTTCAGCCTTGAAAATAATTTTAGTAACAAATTGCAACTTTTTGGATAAGCCATTCCTTGTCCAATACCAAACTGTTTCTTAAAACACGTCTGCATAGGTGCCTCATTTGATAATAGTGAATGAAGTGACTGAGTTCACCAATCACTTCATTTTTTTGTGAAGCTAAATCAGCGCTAGCGACTTCGTGGACCATGAAGTGCCCGCATCCACGTAAAAGGCTCCTTCATAAAAATATTTATGAAGGACTTGGTTTACTGTAGATTACTTTGTACATATTATGCACTTATGAAGATTACAGATATTTGATGTTCAATATCATCACGTGAAAACTGGTGGATGTAGAAATCATCAAGTAAGCAATGAAGAGGTTAGGCGCAGATTATAATGACGCAAGTCAGTTGGTGCGGTCATAAACTGTAACTGAAGTCGTTGAAACTTATGTCACAAATACTCAACCACCATCCACTATGACACTTTGTATTGGCTAGAATGGGATTGCTTGCAGAAAACAGTTAGTGACAGGCAAATCAAAAAACGACAGAGATCCGTTAATTACCTGATAGCTATGTCACTAATACAGATACATATTACGTTTTAAATAGATGAATGTTGTTTTTAAAAATCCTATTCTCCTCAGATTCTTTGAGCCGAAGTATTACTTTGAAGATTAACGTATACAAAGCTTAGTCACTGTGCTACACAAGTCATTTTACCCGCGTCACGATAATTCAGTAACTGTAGTTTGTTTGATAGCTAGCAGTGGACACGTCAGTTGAACGTACATACACTCCAATGAATTATGTTGTTCCTACCACGACTCGCACCCAGTACCCATTGCTTCAAATGCTACAGCGTTATCCACTAGACTACCGAATCAAGCAATCTGACTCAATTTAGCAACGATAAATTACAAGTATCAATAAATAATCAGCAACTGCTGGAGACGTAGCCTACTTGACACAAAGTCAAAAAGAGGAGCAGATGTAGGCTCAAACCATTATCTAGTGCAAGGAACCTTCAAAATCAAGTTGAAAGCCTTCAAAGAAGTTGGTGATAGACCACAGTTCAAGTTCAACACCCGGAAACTGAAAGATGAAACTACAAAGAAAATCTTCACCAACACCACCACCAACAGCAACAAGCACCAATCACCATCAATGGGAGGAACTTAAAGGAAGTTGTCTCTTTCACCTAAATAGGCAGGCAGCATCGTTTCAACTACAGGTGGCGGCACAGACAAGGACGTCAAAGCCAGGATCGGAAAAGCAAGGCAGGCGTTCATTAACCTGAAACCAGTGTGGAGATCTTCTGCACTCAGCATAAAGTGTGAACAAGATCCGGATTTTCAACACTAAGTCAGTCAAGTAAGTCAGTGCTTCTATATGGTGGTTGAGAGACTTGGAGCGTTACGAAGGGCATTTCCAACAAACTGCAGACATTCGTCGATGACTTCTTACGCTCGTCACTGAAGATCAGATGACCAGAAAGAATAAGCAACAAGGAACTCACTCTGGCAACGAACCAACCAAGAACCTATCGCTCAACAAATATGCACTGGAAGGAAGTGGAGATGGATTGGGCATACACTGAGAAGGCCAACTGGGGACATCACGCCTCAGGCCCTCGAGTGGAACCCATATGGGAAGCGATGAGTTGGGTGTCCAAGAGTGACATGGAGGAGATCGTGCGAGGAAGAAATGAGAGCTTTTAGGCTGTCGTAGAACCAGGTTCAAAACATTTCAGAGAACAGAGTGCACTGGAGACGTGCTACTAAAGCCCTATGTTCAATTAGGAACCCAAGCATGGCACAAATAATAATAATAATAAACTGATGAATTAGATTAGTTACATTCTATTTAGAAGTTTGTGGAGATTTATGAATTGATTCTAGGTTGGAATTCCTCATCAGTTGGAGGAACATTGGAAGCCTGGGAGCACTGACAGCTGTTTCATCCTAGTATGGGACTCTTCGGCAGTGTGCACCCAAAGAAAATCTGTGATAAATTTTTAGACCGCATAAGAGTGATAATGGATGCTAAATTATGTCCGAAACGTCATAAACTAAATAATTCTATATTATTATGTGCTACAATAAATAAACAGAAATGGAATTATAACCTAATCATAGTTTTTACTCATACGACAATTTCTGACAAGTACAGTTCAAGTTTTTGCACTGAATATCCTGGTTAATAATAAACAACACCTCTTAATTTACTAAGGAGACAAACAAAACGTAAACTTACAACAAATATCCTGTATACATCTAAACGTGTAAGCGACGATGAAGCCCAGCAAAGGTCGAAATCCGAAATCGACGAATTTCGTGAGTTATTAAAAGAACTGAAAAAAGAACAAAAAATGCTATTCAAAAGTTTCAGTCCAAGAATAATACTATGATCCATTACCATCACCACTATTAATTATCAGTTTGACTATCTGGGATAGCTGTCGTTTAGCGTACATATTCAAGGTGAAATGACAATTTGGGCAGCTGGAGGACTCGAAGCAGCAGGTCACTGACCAGATGCTCCACCAACTGCTCGGGTCTTGTAGCTCAGTTGGTACAGTACGGGTACGTAACCGGGAGGTTGCTGGTGCGAGTGGAGCTGTGGTTCAGTCGATTAGGGAGATGACTATCAACCACTGGGTCACGTGTTCGAGCTCCGCTCTATATACTGAGGTTTGGGCAGCCAGGTAGTATTACTAGTCGTCACACAATAGGCGTGGATCATTGCCTACTGTATGAATGTGCACAGGTGGCTGAGCGCATTCCTCCTCTTTCTTCTTCCTCGCTGGTTCGAATCTTGCTGGGGCCCAGATTATCATTTCATCTTCAATCATCAAGCAGTACTATTAATACTACTATTAAACACTCGAATTAGCTCATGTCTTATGATTTTGACACTAATATTCACAGCATTTTCCTTTCTCAATAATTTGCTGAGGTAAAGTTTTCAGTGTAACAGTATAGGATATTAAAAAAATGTGTTGCTGGAGTATGCACATCTGAATAAAGAATAGTTAGACAAAGTGTTATATCTTAAGCAATGAAGATAAGGTTGTGAAGCTGTGGCAGCCTACGTGATTTACGCCATATGTTATGCATATTTAGACCGTATCACCTAGTGCAACAGATGATAGATAGGAAGAGAAAGGTTTTGAAAAGTCTTGATTTCGCCAGCTAATAAGGAAAATCATATTAAAAAGACGCTGAATAAGATCGGTTCTAAGAGAGTATAAAATCTATGGACGACTTATTCTATTGACGTCATGTCGTACTCTAAATTCGAAAGCAGACCACTCATTTTGACCTCCACACACATTTCAATCAGTTTTGTCATTGTCTCGTTCAGTATTTGGTCATATATTTCCATCTAAAGTGCTTTAAAGTAAAAATGATGAAGTCACTGTGTTTTTTTTGGATAAAAAGTGACAAAAGCAAAAAGAAACGAGATTCAAGGATACCACGACTTATCAAAATATGATTAGGTTATACAGATGAATCATTCGCCAAAAAAAATTGTTGAGCAAAGTGTTTAGTACTGAAGATTTGCCCAAATTAGAAAGAGATGGCAGGTTTTCATTTCTGGGGTGGGGGTCATTTAAAAGTCGGTTTAGAAGATATATATTCACCGAAAAAACTTAGCACTAAATAGCAATCATCCTTACAACACTTAGATGAATTTGTGCGAAAATACTTTATATTCAATTGAGGACAAACTGCATTAAAACCTTCCTGTAAAAAGCAATAAAGCCTGTTTCATCTTATAACAGAATGGATTGGTCCACCAACTACTTAATACCAAAGATGGATAATCCAATTCATGGGTATTAGGAAGAGAAGACAAATGCCTGCAGAAATCTCAATAGCTCCACTATCTTAAGATGCTTTTGGAAATGAAAAACTATTCACCATACAATTTGATTAAATAGACATTGAAATCAACATTTTTGAGCTGCATACTTTCAATGACGAAAATTCTGATGACAACGCTCCATAAGCCTAGACATGGTTATGTGGGTCTGAATACAGCCTTGATTAGCATAATGTACTAGCTCGGTACTTTCTTCACAATCATACACTGCTACAACACCTCTTGGTCGATTTAGTCGAATGCTATCTTCGAAAAATGTGGCGTCACACTCGGCGGTAAGTATACCTGTGTACCATAACCTGACGAAGGGTGAAGATCTGATCAATGCAACTGTAAGTCATCGAGCTGTTCAACTTGTATAGCAGTGTAGGATCTTAACAACCATTAATTCCGCATAAAATGAGTACTGGGTGAAAGCAAATTAAGTCGTTTATAATTAAATTTAGCTTGAAAATAACATATCATGAAGAAGGATAAATAATAAATAAATAAAAAACTGTGCTTAATTAGTGCTGTGTTTCAAACTTCAGCAAAAGATTCTAACCAGCAAATGAATTGAACACAATACTACAATAATCTATAGGGTAAATTTGATGACAGTTCATCAAATGCATGTATGGACCTTAGAACATTGGAACTAGCATACAACATCCTTGATATCAAAAGCAGGAGTAAATGATGCAAGATACAGTTATACCAACAGTCAGATTATTTATACTCCATGTATAGGATATTCAGGTGACAGTCAACCACAGGAGAAACGAACAGATTAAATTTACAATGTTGGAGGTCATAAAAGTTCGATGACGAAGAGGAGAAGAGAAAAGGAAGAGATAAGATATTACGATCCAGATGAAAACAAAGCACATCACATTCAACTTTGAGCTACATTATACAGTCTCCAAACAGCAGCTTAGCTTGTCTCACAGATAGTTCAGATCAACAGTCAGATTATATAGATTGCTTTCATATTCTGCTATGTTCATAGTGATGAGCTGTTACTGTCTATACAGATACGTGACGCATGTACAAGTTGACGTCTGGCTAAGTTATATCTAACAATGTTCTCTTTAGCTACTATTTTTCTGTGACTATCATACGATAATGCTGCTGGTTATCATCCAAGTAACTAGCATTGTAAACAAAAGTATTAAATACAGTGAGTGAGACTGTAGGGACTGGTTGTGCGAAGTGTTTTTGGAACTGCCTGAAACATACATATTACAATTACGATCTATGTTCTGTTACATCATTCTTAAGTAGTACTGTAGGAGACGAGAAGAGTGAGGCGCAGGAAGGGATGTTTATTACTGACATCTTGTACAGTAGTCATCAAATGTCATACAATTTCCACTAAGACAGTCATTTGCACAATGTGCTTTCATTTCCTCTCCTACTCCTATTTTGATTTGCTTTCAATACGCCCACATTGTCTCTTGCGTTTCTCTGGGCAGAATCTTCACCCATTGCTGGTAATTCCCTATAATTTCCGACGCCTTAACATACACTGCTTACATCCATTCTGAGCAGCAGTGCCCACTACACTACTAGTGAATACTTTGTTTGGAAACAGCACACCCACCTAAGCTCTCATCGCAGTTATCGTGTTTAAAATAACTTCATACTTCAGTAAAGATAGTGAGCTGGAATGTGTAAAACGTGTTTCAAACACCTCAATCAACGAACATACACAACACTAAATGACTGACTTCCCTTACTTAACATTTTACACGTAACGTTCCAATTAACAAATCTGAGACTCCATCACAGGTAAGCGATGCTGATGAAACGCAATATTTGTAAGATAACAGAAGATTCCAGAGATGTTCTTGGAAATTTACACTTTTCAGCACGAACAGCATGTTTCATGTGTATTTAACCCGGAACCCTGTGGTAGACAGACAAACGAACGTGGAAATTTGCAGAGGAGCTCATTAGCATAAGTTGTCACACTTTACATTAGCATATAACTAAGAAAGCAGAAAATTAATCATACTGAACTGGAAAGAAATGCATTCTAAATGTGAATGATTAAAATACGCTAAGTAACTTAGTAAAGCATTCTAGGCTAAGGAAATTGTGGTAAACTCATTCTTAAACTCTAGGTTGACTGCCAAATTAGCTTCACCTACGGAAACATAGGCAGTTGAAATATTGAATGGCATCTTTAGTTTAGAAATCTTTACTGCTATACTGTCAAAACCAAACAAAATGATTTAATTCCATGCCACTCAGTCAGTCCATATTAAAATGGGGCGAAGCATGACAATGTAACAGTTCCATTTGACACACCATATGTCAGCGCATAGAGATACAACGCAGCAAAAAGGTTCAAGAAATGGGAGAAACGTAGCCAGAAGTCGTAGAAAACACGAGAGGTGAGTGAAAATACCCACCAAAATGTGATGTGACAACTAGAATGTTAATATGTAGATTCATTCGCGCCAGGGTGATCGATTCTGAGCTATACCACCTGGTCTCTCTGCCCGATATTTGTTACCTTGACATAGCCATCCAGTTTGCATATCGTAATGACCCTATGAACTATGTTAATGGAACACTTGTCCCTTCGAGTTCCTGTTCCTGAAAGGTCTTTTGGATAGGGGTAAGATAATAAGCTACCGTTAGTGTAAATGCCTAAATTACGCTGGAGGCCCAAGAGCGAAAACGTACGTCTGGTTGGATTGGTCTGTGAAAGCAGTTAGATGTTTCCGGGAATGATTAAGTCAGCTCTGGTGCGATCTTCCCTATGGGAGGCGGTTGCAAAAGGTCGGCCACAAAATAGCATACTCCTTCCTGCGGTACAATCTTTTGGTGCCACCAGTTGACTACCAAATCCCAATCCAACACTCATTAAAAAAACTGTGCGTAAAGAGCCTCCAGATGTCCCTTTCGCTCTCCAATTACGTCGCACAAACAACCTTCAAGATGTAAGCAGCCACGAAGTACCAACCGCCCTCACGTTTTCAGCAGTGAACAAAATCCAACTAATCATAACCTACCTCACCTTAGTGGCTTCTTCGGCCTTTAGATCCTGACGCCAATAGTAAATCTCTAACAACTTCCTAAACCCTCACTATGTGACCATTTCTAAAGATCCAAAGTAATAAAACGTTCAGTCTCCTAAAAGCATGCCGCTAACTTTAAACCGGAGTTATCGACGACCGAACTGTATGCAAAATCGGACAAGAACATAGCTCCCTAAAACTCTGGAATCTTAAGTCATAGACACATGCTGTTTATGAAACACGAATGCGGAACCCAGATGGGGCATGATATCACCCCGCCAATCTCCCGTACCAGTGAAATTCGCTTTACGAGCGTCAAGAGATTTAATAACTGGCTCTCATAGACTTGTTGCTGTAGGTTGAGCACTCAGGTGCAGAGCAGAAGCTGGACTTTTCGACTGGCTGCCAGTCAACAACTGTGGCGCAGTGTTCGAAAAATGGATCTTTAGGAATTTAA